TGTATGTATGTATGTGTGTATGTATGTATGTATGTATGTATATATATATATGTATGTGTGTGCGTGTGTGTGTGTTTGTGTACTTATCTCTCAATATATAGATATAGTCGACAATTTTATAATGGTATAAATCAACAATTTCTTTATGAGTGTATATGTGGATACATGTTCACCGCACAATGACAATACATTTCTTGTATGACGACTTCGATACCTGAGATACGTCTCTTCTCAGCATCTTCAGTACAACTTCTCTGTCTTGTACGGGATACTTATTCAGCGTTTGTTTGTCGAATATAAATACAGACACCACAATCTTGTGTTGTTTATTAGTAGCGCTGTGTATCCTCCACAGACAACAGTGTCCTCCCGAGGCGGTCTGTTTCCCTATTACATAGTCTTTCTCTATAGTGCCGCTTGTATATGTAACTGCGGCTTGGTTAGCCGCCGCTGCGACTGCTTTGGAGAACTTCTTGAACATGATGTTCTGTAGTATCGATGTTTATAGGCCGTGCTACAGCACATTCATAAATGTGTTATTGTGTGCGGTTAAAAGGCAGCAGCTGTATTTACACTAATGAGTATGAGTATTGACACCAAATTATTTTAGCCTTGACAACAAACAAATTACTTTTATTAATGTTTAGGGTTATATAAAATATTATTTTGTAGGGTTTATCATAGCCTGCTCGATCGACGATCATAGCGGCATCGCCTCCTAAAATTATGACCATGATTATGAGGCTACGAGTCTACGACTCGATGACACACAACTACACAAGATTTATATTTCTGAAATACATATAGGCATCATTGATCATGGCCTGCTAAAATTTAATCATATTTCAGGAGGCTATTGCATAGCCTTATAGTGGCAGCTCTAACACACTTCCGAGATCACTTATACGGAACAGCATTTACGCTAATGTATGATCAGAAATCTCTTCAATATATGAAAGAGATGAAACCCGACTCACAATTACTGAGTCGCTGGCATGATACAATATCAAAGTTTCATCTTGATATAAAACATCTGCCAGGAATACATAACCATTTACCGAATATGTTATCACGCTTCGTACCGGACTTTAATAAATCCGTACGTGAGTTACTAGCCACTGACTGGAAATGTAATCCCAGGTGGTTTGAACTGGTTCAAAAGAATTTTGGGTCACATACCATAGATATGTTTGCTGCACATCATAATGCACAACTATCGAATTACAGGACTTTAAATCATCCTTTGGGAGACGCCATTCAAATAGACCTCTCCAAACAAAATGCGTGGGCTAATCCACTATGGCAGTTAATTGCCCAGCTATTAAATTATGTCCATATACATAAAGCTACCATCACGTTGTGTTGCCCATTACGGAGTAAAGATCCATGGCTCAATAAATTAATAAGCATGATACAATGCGAGTCAATATATTTAGATAGGGAAGTAGATACTTTCCTATATCAGGGTACCCGAGCCGTCCAGAAGACGCCCTGGAGATATACTATAATATGTCGTATAGGTCCCATTGGAACAACCAACTGGACCCCTTCTGAGACCTTCCTTAACAAAGTCAAAGAATCTGAGATTCCACTCTCTACTAATTTGAACGTTAAAACGCGCCATAGAACT